GAAAGTTAATATCGCTACAGTGGCGATACTATTTTTATTACCATTATTGGAGATACTACTTTTTTAACTAGTTTATTTTCCAATTTAAGAAAAAAATATTATCAATGTAGGTTATTCAAAATTGTTAGTCTGCAGTTAGGCATATTCATTTCCTCTTCTTCTTCAGGATGGACAGTTCCTAAAATACGTTACGATTGAAGTATACATGTAAGTAAACATGGAGACAGTGCCATTACAAATGGCTATAAGCTCGCTCATAGTATTAGCCTTTTGATAAACATTTCTATTTTAACATTAATATTGTTTGGTTTTTTTAGCGACTGACCCTACATGACCCGTCTCAATTTGATACGTAGTGCACTCCACGATAAACTATACAAATTTCTTTGCTTGTTTGTTGATTTTTTTAAAAATACTTCAGTAACGCTCCTAACTGGTTAAAGGGTCCGCCTCGGATACAGGATTTCGTGAATTCGAATCCCGGCCGAGTCATACCAATAGGTATGAAAATGGTACTATCCTCGCTGCCTCGCTTGGCGCTCAGCATTAAGAGTTTAGTGTTAGGAGTAGTGTTTCTGACATAAAATATGCATGTACGTAAGTACATGAATTACGAAGTTTCGCATAGTCTTACTAGATTGTATATCATTTTATTGTTAACGTGCATGGGGGGATATGCTGCATGTCTACAGCATGATTCCCCAGTGCTAGACATCACAATAAACTGCTAAACTGCATACAGCGTAGCGATATGACTAAAATAATCAAAAGCTATGTTAACAATGTAAATCACACCTACACACACACACAAACACACACACACACGCAAGCTATAGTGTGAACCATTAGAGGTTACAGTTGCTTTAGATTCTAATGGAGATGCTGATAATATACTAAATCATTAAGTGTTAATGCTTCCACATTTTCCACATATACTGCATACAATCCACAATAAGAAACGACACTACTGCAGCTGATGTTTGAAATGGCCGTGGCTTTAATTAATGAGTGACAACGCAAGTCAGGCATTCAAAGGGAGACAAATATGTTGTGTGTAGGTTATTACCAGTTAAGACTCCAAGTAGTAAGTAGAAAGTGTTAGTTCTAGCTACGTGACCTCTCCTACCCTCCAAACAAATATAAATTACCCTCTCAGAGACCCTAAAATCCCAACCCCTAAACGATTTTCCCAAAATCAACCTGTTGGTTCTGGCTGCAAATTTAATCTAAGACTTTTACACACCTTCCAAACAAATATGAATCACTATCTTAGGGACCCTCCAAAGAAATATCAATTATCATCTCAGAACCTCACCAGACATCCAAATGAAAAAACTCTACCATGTGGACGGATTTTGTTAACAGATGATGCCTCGTATGGAAATCAATCAATACTCTACATCGGCTAAACCTTACATAAAATTGATAAAGCACATCGGTTTCAGTTCAGCTTTATACTTAAACATATTTTCTTATTCCTAGGTTTTAAAAATTTCATGTGATTGAGTCACCAAGCGGATTTTTGTATACAAGCAGGTAAGTGATAATGATCTTGTGTTCCAATAATACTATTTGATAATCTTTTTTTAATCTACTGACTCTCACTTGTAGAATATATGTTAACATACTGTCAATAATACGGAACTTGCGTATTAAATCATCCATATCATATTTTATACATGTAAGTAAGATCTATCTGATACAGTAAATTTTATCGGTGATACTTACTGCTTTTCAACCATTTTTTTAGTCGCGAGTCGAGGTTCAATTTTTTTTACACGCCGTTGAAAGAGAAACACCATTGATGCTCCACTTGAAATTACACCAGAGCCGGTCATTAACAACAATAATTATAATATTCAAAATATTTTGTTCTAGTATTTGTAACATTTTTTACACACCAAAGTTTCCTTTTATGACAATATCTGTAATATTACATTAACGAATCAACATCTTGTTTTGGAATTTTATCCGAGATATAACTAAAATCAACTATACATTTTTATTATATAATAGTGATTTGATTAAGTGATTAATTGTGGAGTTTCAGCTACAAATTACAGACATTACCAGCAAGAAAATGCGGTTAATATTTTATCAGTTGCCACCAAAATATACGCTTCTTTGGTATTTTTATTTAGCACTCTAGGTACAACTCCAGAGAAAGCATCGCTTGAATTACGTCATATATATGTGTTAAATATAGCAAATTTTGCACCATTAAACACGGACCGTCTATATACGGTATGCGTATGTTTGATAGTGCTATTTTTGGTGTCCATGCTGCTGATTCTGATGCTACTCTTATACCACACTGATAATCTGCTTGTGAGAAATTTTAATCAGATTCGTTTTTACAACGATTTTAAGGATCCCAATGACAATATCATTTAGTTTTGTGTCAATGTCAGCGAACTGTATGTCAACACTTGGTGGACTTCCAAAATATTCGTTAATAGGTCTGTTCATGTTTCTGCAAAATTTCATAAACATTTGTACGTGAATATTATAACTGGTATTTAATCGTTTATACATTGATTGTTTGTAATGACTTCATACATCGACATATTTTTTCGTTGAAAAATCAAAATCTGTCTCAGGTTTTTTAAGATTATTAATACCATAATTATTCATGTTGAGAAACGCACGCATTGTAATACCGCTGACTAATACGTACTTAGGTTTTAGATCATCGATATATTTTTTCGTTGCAGAATCATTATCTGCGGTTGGATTTCCAAGGCCTATAATCTTGGCTTGATTCATTATAATGTTATCCGTTAATGAATTACAACTTTTTATATAATCGTTACTTGATCTACCGGAATATTGTATCTTACCTTGATCAGTGAAAATAACGATTATTAACAACCGCGATGGGAACTCGCATAAGCACATCTAACAGTTGTACATTAGTTTTCTTTAATTTTCTTTGTCATATAAAACAACGATTTAATTTTGATCCACGCGTGTAATATTTAACAAATTATTGATTATATTGTAAGCTGAACTAGAGCTGATCAAGAGCTGATCAAGTCCCCTTGCTGTGCTTTAGCTGATAAATCTATCAATAATGTTCCAAACTTTGTATAATAGCTCATTATTTATTTAATGAAACATGAAATTGTCAACATTAGCTAGTTTAATATTCCATAAAGTTATATAACAACAATGGCGAAAATATTATATTTTGATACCGAAAGATTGATTAATCAATGACAATAATGAACGTCCAGATTGCCATTACTTTATTATTGGTCGTACAGGAACAGGTAAATCAAATTTCGTATTAAATCTTTTGCTCAACGATAACTTTTAACTATGATAAGGTATATATTTACTGAGCCAGCAGAACAATACACTTCGTGATGAACTTAACGTTGGCGATTATATATTTTTAATAACACAACCAGAAGAACTTATTCCATTTAACAAATTTGATTCACCTGAACATAAAATAATTGTATTTCACGACATTCAGCTAAACAACGAGGAGATGAACACGATTAGATCTTATTTGTCATTATCGCGTATTTCGCCCAAGTTTTAACAATGTCGATAGATTTATCAGGATAACTATTGGTTATTCATATTCTTTCCCGGAGTGATAATGTTGATGTTTGAAATATTGTAATAGAACAATGTTGTGATGTAACGAAAGATAAATTTATTGAATTATATCAAGCAACCAAAGACAAATATAATTTCATTTTACTTGACAAGCTAGCGCTTGATCCAGCTATGATATTTCGTTGTTGTATTGGCACATTTCTATAGGCTAATTTTATGAAGCGTGCATAAAAAATGAACAAGCATCATGGAAGGATCGAATTACCAAAGATGTTTTATCGAAACTCGAGCTGCTTTTAAGAATAAAGTTTAAGAAGCTCAGCGTGGACAGGTTAAGACATCGGAAGAAACTGCTAAATTTTACAAACCTGTTACTGAGGCAGTACTTGACAAGTAAACAGAAATATAAACACTTTTTGCAGATGAGCTTAAACAATTACAAGAAAAAAGATAGTTAAGTTTAATTGGAGAAAGATCGAAAAAAAACCCCATGAAAATTGTAAACGAACTTGTAAGGCACATTGCTGATTTTGCTGCACGACAGGCTGAGTTTTACAGGCTAATTTATAATCCTCCTGCACTTCAGCATGCAATAACTAGAATGGATTTTAATCCAGCCGAGTTATAAACAAGATGATAGAAGATGTGTCAGAGCAACAAAAAAAAAATTCAAGAAAGTGTGATAAAAATAATGCCTGTTGGAATGCCTACAAAAGTTTACATAAAACAATCAATAGCAACAATATATGATGATGAGTAATATATATTCATTGAAAAATATTTAATAGAAGAAAATTTAAAAGATCTTAACATCATTAGAAATTGGTCCGAATATGATTCCAAAAACTGACAGATAATTGACAAAAATTATTATTTTTTTCTAAAGCTAACGAAAAAAATTATAAACATTTTATTAAAAAAAGAAACATTTACTCTTTTAGATATAATAAGAGAAGGTATTATTGCTGAGAATTTACCTAAAACAGCAGAAAATTATAAAACCAGAAAAATAGAATATACTAGAGGCTGAACTTTCAAAAGACTGCTCATTAGTTATGAAAATAAACAAGGTAAAACATTACCAGAGGAAACCACTGGATCTGGAGTTAAAGTGCTTACATCGAACGCAGAAATAGGCGACCGACTGATGTTGTTGAAATTATCAAAAGAAGCTGTTAATGAGTGTGTATGAGTGTGTGATTTAGATTTTTAACGTAGCCTTAACAACTTTTCAGTCATATCGCTACGATATCTGCAGTGTGACAGTTTATAGCGATTTCTAGCAGTGGGACATCAGGCCACAGACATGAAGCATGATATCCCACCCAGTCACATTATTCGGACATCAGACCAACCAGTCCTAACACTAACCACTTAATGCTGAGCGCCAAGCGAGGCAGATGTTAGTACAATTTTTGAAAGTCTTTGGTTGGACTCGGCCGGGGTTCGAACCCACGACATCCCAAATCCGAGGCGGATGCTCTAACCACTAGGCCAACGAGCAATATCAGATATTGCGCCGACAGAAGAAAGAAAACGAGCTATGAGAGCTACAACAAAACAAACCAATATTATCACCGCGTGGTGACAAAATAGTACGGAAACTTGTTAAGAAAACAAAGCCGATTACCTCTGCTGCCTTTTGATATTGTGTAGCAATTATAAATAAATTTCAGCTAAACATTATCTCGATCCTGCTGAAAAATATGATACTAAAACTTTTAAAACAAGAGATGAGGACATGCTTCTATTGTCGCATAAAACAGTGTTAAAATTGCGTGGCCAAATACTAACGGTGATAGGTGTTGCCATTGCAGCTGGTACAGAAATTGCGCTTGTCAATAACGATTGGAGCTGTTTAAAATTGCACTATATCAACTGGCCAGTCATACCGTTTAAGATATTTCAATGCATTTACCCATAGCAAGAACAATACTTAACATCGTTTCGTTTAGCGATGATTATTCAATATCAGTTGCAACAAACATGATGTCGTTTAATGATACCTCATTCTGGACAGCTGCTTCGTACTGGTGCTGCTAATCCTGTTATAGATAACATAATCTAATCGCGAATCCTGCTGAAAATGTAGCTGATGATATTGGAGATGCAATAAGAATAGCGGTCACAAGAATACGACGACAGCAATATAACGAGTGATTTGCCAAACGGAAAGCTAGCCGCAGAATCTCGCCAAATAATGATGATGCTTCCGTTAAGTATAATTTTTAGATACATACACTTATCTTAGATCGAGCTATAGTATAATATATGCTGATGGACATCTGATAGACAGTTTGCTCTTACAAGATTAGCATTATGGATGCTCTGGATGTACGCTCTACAGATAAAGTATGGAACTCGAATTATCGTTGGTCATCTTTAAAGAAAAATATATTTCCTACAGAATAGGATTTATCAAACAGCAGTTCCTAACGCAACTGATTACACATGGCGTGTTACAACTACAACTTGCGAAGAACAAACTCGACTCTTGTTTGTCGTATTTCAGCGACAAGCATGTCGCAATAATCAAGATATGAACAATTCCGTGTTTCGTAACCATGACGTTAGGCGAATATTTGTCAGAGTAAATTCTAAACAATATTCCGAACGTGTAATCAAATGCAATTTTGCAGACGATGAAACAAGAATCACATCTCGACTGTACATATACCTTATGGAGGAAAAGTAAACATATCAGAACTCAGATAATTGATCTCAAATATAATTAGAAGAGTTTTGATGGCTGTACGCTATATTTTACTAACGCCGTTGTTTATTTAATGACATCTCCGGAGACTTCAAATAAAACAGTGGTTAAATTAATGCTAACACATCAACACATCGATAAACTTGATAAAGAAAAACCGTTTGTTCTTAAACTATCTGTTTTGCAAGTAACATCAATGTCAAAACATGGCGGATTTTTTGACAAACACTGTCTTTGATAACTAGCAAAATTTTGCCAGTACTTGGTATATTATCCCTAGCGTCTCCGTCAAGGACTGTATCAGGCGAAACGGAAAATGCAGTCGAAGGTCATGGAATAAAATAAATCTATCGGCGGTTACATGATCACTCAGTTTTATGTAACAATATAAAGTAAATACATCAACGAAAAAGATAATGATAAAAAACCAACAGAACAAGGAGATTTTATTCTAATAGCTCAATTACTAGCAGGATTTGTAGGAAGACTTCTTGCGAACCTATTAGGAACCGGCCTAGAATGACACTACCATGGACCAGACGCTATTGAGTAATTTTGATATAATTGAAAATTTGAATGACGTCGGATGGCGGAGTATTTGTTAAGGACGAACTTGATGACGTACAATCAGTTGGTCCATGCGTTGTAAATATAGAAAAATTTAACGATGGCTCAGGCACTCACTGGGTTGGTGTCCATGCTAACAGTTATTTTGATTCGTTTGAACTTCCTTCGAGCAATGTCATAAAATATATATTTTCAAAGAATTTGATAAAATAAATTATTTGTTTAATCAGCTACAGTTTATTGGAACATCTTTTTGTGGTTATTATTGTATAATGCTTGTTAGACAGATGTTAAAAGATCCTTATCTTTTAAAGTGTTTTTTTTTTTTTTTTTACATTTTTATAAGCAACCGTCTCACTCAAACAATGAGATTGCATTCAATTTTTGTAAATCTATCTAAAGCTTACTAGTAATTTTGTAAAGCTATCTAAAGCTAACTAGTAATTTTTGTAAAGCTAACAAAATCTCAGAGTTTAAATTTTGTGTGGACATACAAATATAATAATGTCAACATACTGTCTCAAATGTAGAAATATAATAGATACTAAGGATTTGACGACGAAAAAATAATAGAATATGCTAAAAAGAATTGGTATTATTTGTGTTAGAAAGAAAAGTATGCTTTTGAAATCGACAACTGGAGCTGGAAAAATTCCCCGACAGAGTTATCTTAATTGACGATTAATTAATTTTCTATTTCTTATAACATATTTTATGAAAACTAATACAATAAAATGAAATGTAACTATAATTGTGATATAGATTTTTGTTTCGAACAAGATAAAATAGTCACATAATGTAAATCATGCCGGCCTGTTATAATTTTGTTCTGTCAGAGACGGCGACCATCTCATAATTATCGTCCGATTCTTTGTTGTACAAAATATCTTCGTCACCATAGTTATCAAATTTATTTATTATATCAGTAGTGATAGTAATATTGTCTGCGACATTGTCGTTAGTGATTGCATCACTAGAGATGAAGTCTCCTGTAATTGACTTTTCCGCTTATTTTTCAGCATGTCTGTTTGTCAAGTTTCAAGTTCATATTAAAATGTACTTTTATATAATCTATTGTTATGAAATGACCAATGAGGTAAAATATCAAACTTGCAGAGGCAGTAAGAAAATGTCTGTTAGGGTCTGTCAACTCAAGGTGATTCTATTATCAGTAGAAAAAATTTAATGATAGCACTTTTACAACATTATAACGTTTGCTTAACTAAAAGCGAGCTGATCATTGTAAATAAAGTAAATCTGGGATTAATATTAAAATGTTTTTTCCGCAGATGAGATCGAAGTAAATTTAATTTCCTCATCTGTTTCAAGATTAAATGAAGCAATAGGTTTTGTAGGATAGCTAAAGTTAATATCACCTCATTGTCCATTTCTAACATTTTCCTGCTGGTTAACTAGCTCCAAATTTTCCAGATGTTTGTCAGTCTTTACGTTATTAATGTGATTAATCAAAAGACCATTGGGTATAGATCCGTTAAACGTCTCGTGGACAAAACGACGGCTAAGATAACCAACTTGATCGGATAGTGTTCCTCTGGCAATTACCTTGCGATGGCCCATAGCATTAATACTATAAATAATTTTTGTGTTTCTATTTCAAATAATATCTTAATCGTTAGCATCATATAAATTAAATACTAGATGCGATTCAAACTCATTTTGTATAGATAAGTTTTCAAGGACCCCACCGTGCACATAATAAACACGTTATCCTTCTGGAATTGCGTCATAGAACAAAGTGCAAATAAAATCTTTTCTAAATATATTCGTTCTCTCGGCATTATTATCCTTAACGCGATATTATAACCTGCTGGTGTTGCCTAGTGTTGCCTGACCAATCGGTTGTTCGTATTTATGCTAATAATCGAACCAAGTCCATTTGCAGCAATAAGTCTTACCTTGGGTGCATACGATATGCTTCTTGCTCTCTCAAGTTCTTTAGGTTTCGCATCATTATATTTTAAGTAGTTTTATAACTCTAACTGAATTTTCAACTAGCGTGTGGTGAGTTATGGATAGAATGATCAACTAAAGATATAATATTACACTGATATATAGCGATGTTGAAATTGCGTGATATAGTCAGGAGGAGCCTTATGGGGAAACCTGAAAAAAAAACAACTACATTTAAAAAGATTTGGCAACAGTTAGAGTTTTGATAAACAAATCGTACCGGTAAATTTTGCTGCAACAAACCTCTATCATCTGATATAGCCAACTGTAAAACGTGAACTTGAAAAACATTAGGATCTAAGACCATTGGTGCATTATCCTGTTATATTTTCAAAGCTACTTGTGACAGAAAGATCGACAGACAGGGAAATTTCAGCCATTTCATTAATGCAAAATCAAGAGGATTTTTTTTTGAGACTGATTTTTTTGTCACTGGTTAATGAAACACACCAAGAAATTTAGAAGAAAAAAATAGAAGAATTCGCCGAATTAGGCTCGGATTGGAAGCTTAAAATTATCAAGGAAATTTCATTTTACACAATAAAATATAACGTATTATCGGTAGTTGGTGTATTAGCCTGACACAAAAAATTTAAAAATGTCAAAAACCTCGATAACAGATGTTTTCAATGGGCTCTTCGTTCTATGATATTTCCAACAGAAAACAAATACTGATCACTTTGATAATTATTTTATTCACATGTCGAAATTAGATTTTAATGACATCGTGTTTCCAGTTGCAGAAAATCAAATATCAAAATTTGACAAGCAAAATTATGTTCTAATGAACATTTTCGGCTAGATGAAATAGAAAACGTCTATCCGAGATATATTTCAGAAAAAGCTTCACAATTGACAATAAACTTGCTGTTTTATAAAGAATCATTACCTTTGGATCAAAAACAGTATAATAAACGAAACAATAAAAGGTTATTCTGTTATCGCTATTTGCAAGGATGTACAGAAAATGAAACATTACAAAAGCATTTGCGGTACTGTAGTGACGTAATTGTTTTTTACAGATTGTGATACAGAACTATCAGCCAAACATAAACGTAACAACGAACTTCCAGATTGTCATTATCTTATTGTTGGTCTACAGGATCTGGTAAAACAAATCATTTACTAAATATTTTGTTCAACGACAACTTTAACTACAATAGTGTGTATATTTACACAATTAATACGCAGCACGGCAAATACGACTTATTGAGTGTGTACAACGACACACATCCCCATGATCTTGGCGCAG